CAGTTCGCTCGATTCATTTATGCATATGCCTGGGCGGTAGGTTCTAATTTTTTATTTTTAACGCCTTGTAGTTCTCAGTATATAAAATACGTTTTGAAATATAAACAAATACAAATATATATGTGAAATAATTTTATAACAATTATTTTTAATATATATATGTATATATTTATATATACACACATATATTTTTTTTTACCTCGAATCTGATTAATTATAATAGATCCAATAATAAATTGCACTAGGTATTATCGAGGAAAAAAAAACATGTTTTTTTCCACTATTTTCAATTAAATAAATTTAGAAGAAATATAGGGAGATGCTAGAAAACATAAAAAATATACATATGTACATATACGAGTATAATATATAAATTAATTAATACATAGTATGTACGTTTATGTTTGCGATAACCTCAAAGTTTAAATTTATTTTGTTATAAAAATCTTTTTAAACAAATGCTATATAACACGTTATAATTGCTTTTAGAACGACCGCAACACGTTTTAAGCTTTTTTTTTTCTTCTTTTATTATAAAATTCAAACGTTTTATTGTATTTAAACAGTTTGATATTAAAAATGTAATACATATACATATATTGTACATATACATGTATTTAAGGTACATATGTGCATGTAAATGTTAAATATTTTAGATAAACGTATAAGCACGGTTGTTTTATCCAAGCATATAAATTAGGATTAAATTTTTATTTGCGAATCGAATTACGGTTTATCAATTACAAAATATTTAACATTCATTTTGGTTTTTTTTTTACAGTTGGAATGCTAATATACATATGTATGTATGTTTATACATAGGCATGTATTAATATGTACAGATGTATAAATCTCCGTTTTATATCGTGTTTACATGTAGGTTAAAAGTGTTGCTCATCAATTTACAGTTTAATTGAAATTATTTCAATTTTAAATTCCGGTTTACTGTGATGATGATGATGAAAAGAAAAATCTAAAAATTTATTTATAATTAAAAAAAAAAAAAAATTTAATCTAAAAAGTATTAAAAGTATAATTTGTTTGCAAAATATGTACATATACTTTTATAATATTTGTGTGCTTGTGTGTTTGAACAAACTTTAGCAAAAATTGATTTTTTAATGTTAGTTTGTATATGAAGTTTGTAATTCAATGGCAAATGCATTACAATTTTATACATATGTGTTTAGGTATATATGTTTTGTTTACATTCATAGTAGTTTTTCGTATTCTTCTTAGGAAGGCGGTGTAGGTGTAAATTTCATATTTGCTTCAATAACATTTCTAAATATTTAATGTTTGGATTTTAAAATTTATTTACACAAAATATGATATGATTTAATTAAAATATTAAGTAAGTAAGTAATTGAAACATCCTTTGCATAACATGTATAACTGAAAACATATAGTTGCAAAATCAGGTTAAATTTAACTGAATTCAATACTTTTTAGTTCTAATAGTGCAAATAATATTTTTAATAAAAATTCTTTAAGTTGCTATTAGTATTGGAAACTTATATTACAAAATTCAATATTTCACTAGAAGCATTACATAAAATTAAGGCAAATATGTCTATATATAAACGTATGGATCCAAAGTAATTTCGTCAAATCAATTCATTTACGAAGATACCCTTAGAAAATTATTGTGTATTTCGAAAATATATATGTATGTACATATGTAAATTTTTTTGTAATAATTTTCAAATTTTGATTTTGATTATTCAATATGACAATTCAAATTCAATATTGTATTGTTATTCAAGTTTAATTTTTATTTAAGACAACAAATATTTTGTGGCTTTTTAGACAAAAATAAAGAACCTTAACCAAAAAAAGAAAAACCAAAAAAACAGAAACCATTTAATTAACAATACAATGGATAATACAATATTAAATATTAAACTAAAATAACAGTGAAAATAAAAATAATATTTGATAAAAATTTGGAACAGAATAATTTTTGTAAAAATTTAACGAAAGTGTAAACATGTGTAGAGGTCAAAAACATTTGACATTTTATAATATTGAATAGCTCGTTATTTTGAGTAGCTTTATTATGTAAGGACAGATAAACAAAAATTTGACATAATTAAGAAATTTTTAATAGTATGAATATGAAATATGAAAAAATAAATAAAATAAAAACATGAATAATGTCAATAATAAGGGCAAGTTTACCTTTAAATTAAATTTAATTAATAAAAATTTAAAAACTATAATGTCATTGCTATTGAACTTTAATATTTTTTAATGAATTTCATTATTATCTCATATTTTGTAAATTTATTTAAGTATTTTACGAACAATACCCGAGAATTAGTGCATCTAAATGAACTATCATTTTGAATGACGTTTACAAGTGTTTTAAATAATACTACATTAAATTTACATATGCATGTATAAAAATCCTAAAATTTTTAAAGAAAACACATAAATTTATTATTCAAGTAAAATTATTAAGATAAATTAAATGCTTTTATATTTTTTTATTTGCATTAATTCCTAATGTCAAAATAAAAAAAAAATATTTTGTTAAACCCTTTCTGTCACCAGTTCCTTATAAAAAACTAACTTTATTTTTTCTTATGATTCTGAAGTTTGGTAAGATAAATGGACTATTGAAATTGTAATTCAAACTTGTACTATTTATTGACGGTTTGTTAAAAAAATAAGTACTTCTTACTGGAAATTCAGCCCAAACATGACAGATCTACTGGAAATCCAGTCGAAATATGGTACTTCTAGTGGAAAAACCTTAGAATGGTTTATATGGCACTTTTTCAATTTTCGGACTTTTCTTGAATATCTACCCTTTTTCGATATTTTAGTTTGAACTAAGAATTGCGAACGTATAGTTCCGAAGGTGAACTCCCACTTGATGTTCGGGCAATAGTACTTGTACAAAATAAAGTAAATATTGTTACACGCAAATAAAAATGTCGATTCCAGTTATATTGAAAAGTTGACGTTATGCATTATGACGTCATAATTTTACGTAGATTGAGTAGAAATTCGCCTGGAATTTTCAAAAAAATCAATATAATCTTGTAAATAGATTGGTTGTCGAAAATTTTTTCTGTGTTCTTCTTTATATAGACGACGTACGTAAGAGTTAAAATTGATAATTTTATAAAATTCAAAAATTAAACAGAAATTTAATTAAAATTATTTAAGAAGCAAATTAATTCTATTTAATAAGTTTGATATTACGGTAATAGAAGCACGATTATTTTATTTTTTTCAGTAATCTTAAAATTTATATTAACGAAGTTTGCCAGACGAACGTTTGCGAAAAAAATGGATTTTAACAAAGGATTACTATTTTTCTTAATAGAAATTTTCACCATCTTATAATAATAGGTATTTTATTTTAATTCAGACCGTACACCATTTACAATTCTTCCCCATTATCAAATATTGAAATTATAATCTTTTAAAAGCCTGTGCAATATTTATGAACAAATATTTACATCACATTTTAACAAAAAAAAAACAGAAAAAATTGCTTTAAAATATTTTAAAAAAAGATTAAAATATAAAATTTTAAACCACTTATAATTTAAGCAATAATTCTATTTTGCAATAAAGATGGACGACCTTGCAAGGTTTTGCTATAATTTTTTTTCTTTCTGAATTCACAGTTCAAATTATATAATGTAATTCAATTATTTTGTGCGCACTTTAACTAAAAATTTTATATTAAAAATTGTATTTAAAAAATTGCAAAAAATTTCTTACACAGCTGACACACATTTCTTTAAAAGGCGACAAGGTATACGTAAATCTTATACTTTTTTTCTTGATTAAACGGAATATGATAAGGTACAATTTTGGTAACAAATGATTTTTTAAATATAATAAAATGTATAACAATATAATGTATATATAATATTGAAGTCAATTATATAATATCATAAAAATTAAAATAATAAAACAAACAAAATACATTGAAAGTCGTTTAATTTACATGATTGGTGCCATACACCGCAATAATAATAAAAGTGTGTGAATCATATCTTTCAGTGATATATCAAGGAGTAATAATAAAGTTTGTCTTATTATATAATAAAGCAATAATAAAGGAAAATGAAAAAGACATAATGTAGGCACTTACTATACGTTTAAACAGTCAACACTTTATAATATGGACGATTAACATAGATTTTCAATAACTTTTCCCAATTTCAGCTGCGCAGATATACCGCAATACTACAAAGTCCAAAGTTCAAAATTTCCCATTCACATAAATCCGCAAAATCTAAAATGTCACATAAAAATGTGCAGATAGTGACTATTTTGAGTGTAGAATTTACGTTACTGTCATGCCACCGCTTAACATGACAATAACGTAAATATATATTTAAAATTAAAAGAATTATTGCAGGATTATTAAAAATGTCAATATGTCGTTTATGTATTGCCTCAGCACTTTATGAACTTTATATACAATGCCAATAAATGCAATGCGTGTAACACTGTTATAACTATACTATTGGCAAACATAACATATCTGCGTTATACAGTACATATTTGGGCAGTGGAAGTTAGAGTTTACTTTGGATTTTAATACTACGATACTTTAATGTTACCTTGGAATTTTAATACTAGTACCATTTTTTGAAAAATGTGTATGTTGCAATTCATCTCTCATATCATCTTTTCATATAAGCTATACCTAAATGAAGCGTTGCACAGCAACTCAAAAACATGTAACTCAAATACGTGTACAATTACTGCTTAAAATTCTCTTAGAAATTTTTATGGAATTGTTGTCATACACCCCTAAAAGTAAATTGTTATGGTGAAAGTGTTTCGTGCAACTCATTCGGTATAAAGGTCGACTGAAACGGTTTTGTTTGTCAAATTAGTTTCTGTAAAAATTTGTTCTCACTGTATATTTTTAAAAATTAAAGATGTTTCATAATCAATATTTTGTGAATAATTTTGTGTATAAAATAAATGAAAAGGAAAAAAAATAAAAATAAATGTAAACATACCCAAAATTTTACAAAAATCCACAAGAAAAAAAAAACAAAAATAACTCTCTTTCGAGTGGTTTGTTTTTGTTTAACAACTGGTTACGTGTTTTGGTTTTTCATATATGTGAATATAAAAAAAATTCCTTAGCGGGAATTCTGCTGCTTGTTGTTTGCTTGGTGTCACTGATTGTTATTCTTTCGTGATTAATATTTTTTGATATATTAGTTTTTTTTAATTTTCTTTCTATTTTTAAAGAGTTTACAAATTCTTTTCGTATTTTTTTTTTTGTTTTAAAGAAAGAAGGTGTCTACACCTTCGCAATTTTACTTAACTTTTTTGGAATATTTTATTTTGTTTATTTTTTTTTTCATCGGCAGTAAATGTTAAATAACATATTAATTTTTTTTTTATTTAAAATTTTTATTTGTTTTTATTTTTTATTTTATAATTTTTAATTACAAAATTCCAATGTTATATAAGTAGTTTTTTAGTCCAAGTATATTTACATACATGAGTACAATTTTCATTGATATCCGCCTATAATATAGAGAAAAGCTGCACTAATATAAAAAATTTTAATATTATACTTATTATTTTCTTAAATATTATTTATTTCCAAGTTCTAATATCAAATATTCTATAATTTTATTCATGTTTGATTTACACAATAAATGCTCATTTATTGAACCACCCTTTCCTTCCGAATAACAAGTATAATTAAAATTAGGCATAGATAGTAGACACTCTGCTAGTCTATAAAGCAATTTATTAAAATTTTTCAATCCTAAAGCTTATATCCATAATATATAGTTGCCTATTTTATTAATATTTTTAGAATTTTTCCCCATACACAATTAATTTTCATATATGGGATTTTTTAATAAATTTATTCCTTTGCCAATAAAAATTTGTAATAACTACCGTAAAAATTTCTTAAAAAACTTCTTAACCAGTAATATTTTTTTGATAATAAAAATAATTAAAAAAAAAAAAGAATTACATACATATACACACATTTGCAATAAAGTTTGATTTAAAGATAATCAAAGTGCAAAAAAAGAGTTACCAAAAAATTATTTAAAACTGTTAAACAAGAATAACAAAAATACAAAAAAAAAATGAAGATTTGCTATAGGTGCTGCTCCCATATATCGAGCGCGCCGATTTTTATCTTCTGACTCTTATTTTTTTTTTTTGGTATCAAAACAGCTTCAAACGTTAGAAAAAGTAAGAAACAAGATTAAAACACTGCTGTTAATATCAAAGAATAAGTAAAAAAAGAAGAAGAATTACAAGAAATTTGAAAAGAGAAAAAAAAACAAATTTACTCTATCAGATAAAGACAAAAACAACAAAGAAAAAAAAAAACAGAAATTAGCAAATTCAAAAAAAAATTCTATTTTTTATTCTTTCTATTTCATTTTCAATGGTAATAATAGTACACAAATCTATACAAAACTATTCACTCAACTCTATCAAAACAAAATTTGCTGATGAACTGAACTGAAACCAATGACGATAACACGACGACAATGCGGTACGATGCACCCATGTACACTGATATTTTTATTTTTTATTTTCTTTATCTTTCCCTATTTTGTTATTCAAAATAATAATATGGTTATTGGTTATATGTACTATCAGTACGTATAAATGATAAAATGTTGTATGTCCTAAAAAATTTCGTTTTAAAGTTTTACAAATTTTTTGGGGAATAAATTTTGAGTTCACATACAAGGATTCAATTAAAAAATGTCAAGCATATGTGATGTTTTTCAAATAGACTTTTTGAATAAAAAATTTTTTTATTGCGCCTAATTATATGTAATATGTGTTCATATAAATATTTGAAATAAGATGGGAGTATATTAGTGAATTTCATTGATTAATTGAGCCCATGGAGAGTTGACTTGCGTAACAGATATTGTAGCCATTTCTTTATTAATAAATCAAATTTTAATTTATCATTTTGTATTTTTTAGCCTCAAGAATTTGCATTAAATTAAATTTTAGAGATAAGAAAGAGTAGGTACATGATAAATAATGAACTATTATTAAAATTGAAGCTTTACTATTTTTAATTATTAATTATTTATAGAATTTAATTAATATAAATAGTTAACATACATTTAGAATAAAAAATTTTAAAATATAGTATTCACAAAAATTTAATCGAAAATTTTTTAAAATAACATGTAATTGAAATTTGAAAATTTCCTGATTCGCGGTATTCCAATATTAAAAATCAAGTAAGAAACAAGCTTAAAAATTTTGTTATTTATGGAAAATATTTACATATAAACATTTTTATATTGTCCAACAGCTTCCAATTTTAATTTACTTGTATAACAATATTAATAATTATGAAAACTATATATATTAATAATTTACTGATATTGAATTTTTGTAATAATTTTAATGAATTTATTTTTAATAAAAATTTTTTTATCTTTGGGTTCGGCTTACACATATGAATTCATTAACAAAAGTGAAATTTTAATTTAAAATAAAATGAGTTGTTCGCTTTTTTCTTCACATTAATGTTATCCGGTTCAAGTAATTGTATAACAGTTGTAAATAATGTGATTATTATACTATTAAATATTAAGGACTGCGGGGAATTTATTTAAAATATTCTTACGAAACTGATAAGAAATTATTTTATTAAAATTGAACTTTTATGATTTTAATAATTATTAAATAATTTCGAAAATAATAACACGTAATTTGATATGAAATTAAAATTTAATTCAATATTTTGATTATAACTATTTTACATACTGGAATTAATAAGAAAATTGTGTGTTAATCTTATAAAATGTATTTTTATTACGTTTATGTAAGAGTTTAAGTATCTTATTTGTGACAATATTCGAATATTAACAATTTTTTCAAATTGGTATTGGATAGTTGCATCAGCATTAAATGAATATAGCAATTTCAAGTAAATTTGTAGTATTTTGGTACATAATTTAAATTTTTTTAAACAAATTGCAGTACACTTCAAGGAAAATATAAAAAAAATATCCGTACTATCCATAAAGAATAAATTTATATATTGTTCGAAGCAGACATTTTCTGTTTATTTCAACTTTACATTATGCTTAAAAAATTTGCAATTGAATAATATGAATCTTAATGGGCTACAAGTTTTTAATTTAATTATGCTTTATAAGTGAAAATATCTATTGTTATATTGAAAAATATAGGTATACAAACAAAATTATCCCTAAAATTATGCAATTTTTTCATTAATATGAAGATAACACGAGCATGTATTTAAATTTGACGCTTGTCTACCAACGTTATCATATATCGTATTCCTAGTCAGGATCAATAATAATTATCTAAGGTCGTAATACAAAAATAAACTCAATAAAAAATTTAATTTCCCATATATTGCATAATTAAATAATATTGTGATATAAAACATTTAAATTTTCAGTTGACAACATTTTCATATAGAAAATTAATAGAAAACTATAAAAATTATGTAGGTACAAAATACGACAACAACTACAACAACAAAAAAAAAAACAGAATAATAATAATTAAAAGCAATGAAGAAAAAAGAGAATAATATAAGCATAAAAAAAATCAATTGAATTTGAACATAGGCAAATCTGCATGTAATGCAGGTGAATTTTTAACATTGTTTTTTTTTTTTTGTTAAATTTTCAATAGTAGTGTACTTATACTCGTAGTTCTTTTTTTTTGCATATAATTTTTATTTTGCCATTGTTATTGTTATTTTTTTTTCTACGGAAATCATACCCATAGGTTTCATATATATACATATATATGCATATGTAATTTATGTTAATACGATATGTATAAAAATTTTATATTCATATTTTATTATGTTTATATATAAATTAATTATATTTGTGTTCACTATTATTTAACCTTTAATTGAAACATCTTTTTTTTTTTAAATTGACAATAAAAAAATTCAAAATACAATATATTTTTTTTTTCTCTGTGTATTCGTGCAATATTATTGCATTAGATTTTTCAATTTTTAATAATAATAAAATTAAAATTAAATTTTTGATTTAAAAATAAAATTATTTGAATTGAAAATTTCACAAAATTTTATTTTTTATCACAGAAATTAAAAGAACAACACTTTTATCGTAAATTTTATGATTTTTTTTTTCGTTTTGTTTTTTTAAATTCATTTGTAATTTAATTAATTAATTTAATTATTTTAATTTTATTTCTTACAAATTCATAAATTCTCTTATATAATCCAAATTGTTAATATTTTTAGAATTTTTCAAATTTTTTGCAAAACAAAAAAAAAATTTGAAAATTCGAAAGAAATAGAAAAATTTAAAAATCACGAATAAGGTGAATTTTATTGAAAATGCATTCAAATTTTAATATTCGAAATTCGAATTTTCGGAAATCTTACAATAAAAAAAAAATTTATTATACAATTTTAATTTTTGTTTTTTCTTCTTTACAATAACTTGTTTAATTTTTTTTTTAAAGATGCGACTGATTCGTTCGGTGATCTATTAAGAACTGAATCTTAAAAATTGAATTGTCTTTAAATTCAAATTAAAAATTAAAATTGAGCTTGAGCATAATAAAAAGCAAAAACCAAAAGAAAAAAAAATGAAAAAAACAAAAAACCATAAATTTTTAAGCAAATTTTTTTTTGTTTCTTATTTTTCTTTTTTTTTTTTTAATAATTCACAAAAATAGCGAGAAAAAAAGGGAATAAAAGCAGTAATCAAAACAAAAATGTTGCAAAATAAAAAACGAAAGAAAAAGTGATTTTTATTTTTTTTTTTCTTGTTGCTATTTTTCTTTTGTTGTTATTTCTATTTTGCGATAAAAGTTGCGATGCGATGATCGCCTTCGCATTTGTTTTTTTTTTTTCTTTTTCTTTTTATATAACAAACATTATTTAGATGGGAATTAGAGTTGTTAATTTTGAGTTGTTAAAGTTAGAGAGAGTATTAATTTTAAAATTCATTCCGTTATATGAGATCGGCAGTGCAAGAAGTTGAAAATAATGTAAAGAAGACGATTCAATGATGAAATGAATTTAAAGAAAAAGAGAAGAAAAAATGAAAGAGTAATTTTGTGTTATGGAATGTTGTACAATGATGTTGAACCTCGTTTGGTTTTAAGTTGCATTACGCACTCATCATTTTCGTTGTATATAATTTTTTGTTTCCCTTTTTTTCTTAAATTTATGGTGCACTATGTTCGCAGGGTATTATTAATTTAACATTACTCTTTGTATATAATATTGACGGCATACAATTTGTTGAATGAAAACGTACAATATGATACGCTTGTGTTGAGATATATACAATATAATGTGTTCTTGCTGGGCGTTCATTTTACAATTTTTTTTTGTCATTCATCTCCGACTTCGATCCTGTCTCCTTCTAGTCCTAATAGACAATGATTCGAGTAGAGCAAGTAATTACAATTTTCATAAAAAGTTCATCCTAAATAACTCAAAAATTATTAAAAATGTTTGTTTAACCAAATGTATGGGTACCAAATTCAAAATGTATGATTTCTTATAAATTTGATTATAAATTTCAATATCATTTTCTATCACCGTTATATCACCTAGTTGACACGGTCAAATCAATTTATTCTCGTTGTTTTTCTCTGTGTTTCTTGTATACAAATTTCGTTTGCTTTTTTAAGTGATTTCATTTTTTTTTTAATACAAATCTTATCTCTTGAGTTGGTGCTTTTCATCTTTTCTTTTGGTTTTATTTTCTACTAATCTCTCTTTAGTTCGGTTAACTTAAATTTAATTTGTATTACTACGTTCTTCTAATATTATTTAATACTTTTGAGTTTTGAGTCTTCTTCTTCTCATTAATTCGAATCTCTTTGAAAATTTTTGTCTTTCTTATCAAATTTTATTTTCTCTGAATATTTTCGTAAATTTTGTGGCTCTTCTTGTATAACGTTATGAGATAAGAGATTTTACTTTTGGCAATGCAAAATATAATATATTGGGGAAAACTTAAAGAGAAAATGGGAGAATATTTATTGTTTGATTAATTTAAAGAGAAAAACGTTCCTAAGTAACTGTTTATTTGAATACTCTACTCGTAATTTGTATCTTTTTTTCATAATTCTGTTTTATTTTTGTTCGCTGAAGATGAGAAGGGAATAATAAAGTTTTATTTCCGGATTTTGTTTCTTTTTTTAACTCACACATATTTTTTTCTATTCTGTTTTTTAAAAAATTTTTATAAAGCTTTAAATGATTGATAAGATGAATATCACGTAAATTGCATTAGTAACGGAAATCGATACATTGTTAAGCAGAAGAGACTTAGTTATACTAAGAGTTTACAAAATTATGTTTGTATGTTTATTCGTTTTGTATTTGAATAACAATTATGAGTCAAGAAAATCAGAAAAAAAATAAATTTTTTATAAATTAAAATTATAATGCGTATTTAATTATCGAAATTTTAGTATGGAAGATTTCTTGAACAGCTTACATTTAATATGTGAGCATGCAATATGTATAAGTAAATGCTGTGTATTGTATGTATGTATATACATACATGTACAAAAGGTAAAAAAATTGAATCCATGAATACAAGAATGCGTAATAACAATAACGATATAGAAATGGTTACAATTAAAATTTTAATTTCTATGCAAAACAATATTTTCGATAAAAGTT